GCAGTCTAGTTTGGCTATATACCAGTATTGAAAAAAGGAATAATAAAAATTAACAAAGAAAACTTGTCTTGAAGTATTCTGTCGTGAGTTCGCTCTTAATCATAAAGTGGATTAACTGGTTCAATGATTATCTCCTTTCCAAATATCACTCTTCATTGTTTGATTCGATTGCCAAAAGGAATCTATATGAGTTTAAAAAATATTTTCTGTTAAATATAGATATATTACGAAAAAAACAATACAATAGGATTATCGTATTTAATATTTCATAATTCATAATATCATAATTTGACAAACCGTGAGATCATACGGTTATTGGAATTTTGTTTAAATCAATAAGGTTCTTTGCTATGAAAATTATTCAGATCCTTACGGGCCAACTATTGTTTATTTATTTATATAGATGTTTAATCACAGGAACATTCCAATACTCATCATAAGTATGAAACTGGAGCAGAGAAGTTTAAGAAATAACTAATATTGATTGATTGCTGTTTGCTTCACGTCCAATGGCAAATATTTCATACATATTCAGAATGAGAACTAAAAAAAAAATAAATACAAATTAAAAGTCCTTAAATAGGAGGTGACTAGAATAAAAGACGGGAAATTTGGAAAATCGCTGGAAAATGAAGATATATTACCGTAATAGAGTTTTTCTGCTTTTCTTGGCCAATTAATTTGGATTTTCGGTTAAGAACGCAAGTCCAGATTATTTCCGTATATTATAAAATGGTATACCTTATAAATTGACGTACTATTGAGATGTCGGACTAATGGACTTCCACCTCTGGTTTAAAGATTTTTATAGGGATAGCTACCATGGGTTTTAGAATGAACACAATAAAGGAATGAATCTTTTCAATGTTTAAAAAAATCCAAGATGGCAGAAGTGCAGTCATGCTTAAAAGCTTCAGATTGTTTCTACCTCTATCTCAAAGATGGTTCGAGATGTGTATCATAAAGCGATGATGCATCAGATTGTTTCTACCTCTAGCTCAAATATGGTTCGAGATGTATATCATAAAGATGATGCATTTCAAATAATCGCCTTTTTTAAACAGATGTCAGCAATCAGAACAGTATGGAATATTGTTAAAGTTGAGCATACTTATATACCAAATATGACTTAAATGTACAATGCACTCAATATCTAAGAAAACAAAAGTGATGTACATCTCTTTTATATAGTAAATCATTTGTTATTTTTCCTGAGAATAATTCAGGTGGAAGTGCTAAATAATCACATCTACACAATTCGAGTTTTTATCAAATCGGATAGAAAATTCCCCTAGATGTTGCACATTTACATCGTAGAATAATAGTGAATAAATGGCAAGTTTTTCTTTATATATAGATATGAATTTCAAAATCAAATGTATGCCAAATTTAATTAAATGCGCTTATCATTTCATAATGGCCGATGTCCTAAATGGTAAAGTTTATAAATAAACGAGACGTACATAGTCATTAAAAATTTGGATTAAACCTATGCATAACTACTTTATAAAGCTGCTTCTAACAATGAACACTGCCCTTTCCTAGATCTTGATATCTATATCTTTAACGGGAAGCTTAATACCAAAATTGATAATAAAAGAGATGATTTTTCATTTCCTATTGTTAATTTTCCATTTTTAGATAATAACATTCCCTTGTCACCGTCTTATGGTGTTTATATATCTCAACTTGTTCGATTCGCTCGTGTATGTAACAACGTATTTGATTTTAACGAAAGAAACCTCTGTATAACTGAAAAACTATTACACCAGGTTTTCGATGTCACAAACTAGTCAAAATATTTACTAAATTTTATAATCGGTACAAGGACATCTTTCGTAAATATAAATCAACATGCAGACATCTTATATGTTCAGGTATTTCACATCCAATCTTTTATGGTAATATTCTATGCAAAGCACAAAAATGTCGACATTTACCTCAAAGGCTAACCAAACCTTTAAACAGACTTATTCAGACGGGATATAGTTCTGATACTGTTGTCATGTCATTAAAGACGGCATATTTTGGTATTAATATTGATTCACTCATAGGGTCTTTGCATCAGAAATAAACACATTTATTCTAAAACCAGTTGTTGGTATGATACGGGTTATGTTCTTCTCATATATTTTACGATGGTATGATACTTAACCCCTAACGGGAGGGATTGTGCTTGATTTTCATATGATGAAGATATAATCTTTCAATCAGTTTAATTGAGATCAGGAGCTAGCATGTCAATAACTGCTAGTAGTCCTTTGTTAATTCATGTATTATTGTCATTTTGCTTCGTTTCTTTTGTCACCTATTCTTACATCGGACTCGGACTTCTTTTAAACTGAGTTTTTCTCTGCGTATTGCTGTGGGTTTGTTTATTCTACATTGGCTAGAGGTATAGGGGAGGGTTGAGATCTCACAAAACATGTTTAACCCCGCCGCATTTTTGCGCCTGTCCCAAGTCAGGAGATTCTGGCCTTTGTTAGTTTTGTATTTTTTTAGTTTTAGTTTATTTATATGTTTTGGAGTTTAGTGTGACGTCCATTTTTACTGAACTAGTACACATTTTTGTTTAGGGTCCAGCTGAAGCCCACCTCCAGATGCGGGATTTCCGTGCTGTGTTAAAGACCCATTGGTGGCCTTCGGCTGTTTTCTGCTCTTTGGTCGGGTTGTTGTCTCTTAGACACATTTCCATTCTCAATTTTATTTAATTAAGTTATCATTACATATTTACCAGTCTATTTAGAGATATAGAGAGAAGTAACGTAAATTTTATCACATGCGAAGAAGCTCAACAATAACTTTCTCTAATTTCTAGTATCAACGAAGATTGCGAAAGCAAGCAAAATATTAAAAGAATGAAAATCAAAAATCTCTGATAGATTAATTGAGATTGAAATACACAATAACTGATGATCACATGAAATAAAATTTTTTTTAATTGATCAATATTTTTTTCTATTGTCTACAGTATATATATTTTTCATAACAACTAACGAGTTAAAATACATGTTCTGATGTAAAGTTTTTTTTTACAGATTCATATATAATAAAGGAACAAACATTACAAACATTTTGAATATTGCATTAAAGTTTTGTATATATAATTCTGTACAGACAACATAATATAACAAATGAAAAAATTAAACATAGTCTTTCAGTGAAGACTTCAAAAAGGAACCAGTTTCGAAGAATTTTGTAAGAAAGATTTGCAAAACTTACGCGTTTATTTTTTATGCCGTATGAATTACGAATTAACGCGTTAGTGTTTACAATCAACGCGTTAAAAGTTAAAACCAACGCGTTAAAAGTGAAAACCAACTCGTTGGAAGTTTTATGCCGCCAATGTCACGAGTGGCCACTCATAGACAAACATGGTTAATGTCATTTCGGCAATTTCGAGTCATACAACATAAAGGAACAGCTCAAAGAAAAATAAAGGGAAAACTATAAAGTAATAAAAAGTACACAACTTCAGTACCTAGAATCTACAACGCAAGACAATCTTGCATTATTTGTTTAGTAGACACTGAATATTTATCTAGGTATTGGTACTTTCTGATGTTTTGGGGTTGTTTTTATTTTTATTTTCATGTAGAATTTCAACAAATTTAGTCTGTACGATGTATTTATATTTGCGCTAACATTTTTTCAATTAATTGTATGTTACTTCAAGGTTAAATTGTTTGTGATAGTCAATTGGAGAAAACTTGTTGTCAAAATCGCTGAACAATGTTTTCTTGAGATTTAGTCAGGAATTTCGACAATTTTTGAGACTCTCTTCGAATGTCAGAACTGTAATAAAATTTAACATTTCTATTGCATTTTATTTATTTTTTTCTAAAGACTAAAAATATCAACCATTACTTTAAAATTTTGAATGAATACTCGGTGTGTTTTTAAAATACAGATATGTATAGTTTATTCTATTCAAAATTTCATCTTCATTTGATATCTGGCTTTTTTCAGTGTCAATTATAAATGAATGAAAACGGTCAAAAACACAATATACCAAACATTGTTTTATAATGTAAGACAATTTTTCCAGACACGTTAATCCACAACTCACAAGGCTATTACAGTCCTTGGATGGTGTAAACTTCCCACTTACACCATACACCATTACACTATTCACCATAAACCATTACACCATACACCCTGTGCCATTACACCATACACGTAACACCTTTGCACCATACACGTTACACCTTTGCACCATACACCTTACACATTACACCATAATGCAATTTAATTTCAAAGAAAGCATGCGACTATAAAATCATTAATTTATTTAAAAAAACGAATTTAGATCACAATATTGTAAATAAATGTATAAAATTAAAAATCAGTTCTTATCAATATTCCCGATCGCACATTACACCATTACACCATTCCCCTTACACCATACACCATAGCACCATACACCTTCTACCATTGCAACATATGCTATACACCATTATACCATACACGTTTTTTGGGAGGTCTACACCATCCAAGGGCTGTAGTTATGCCAAAATCGAAAACACCATCCGCTCCATAGTATGGCGTTTATATATCTCAGTTAACATATTAGAAAAAATAAATAGATTCCGTATGATTGTTAACGAGACAATTCTCTACCATAGACCAAATAAGGTAGAAGTAAGCAACTATAAGTAGCCGTATGGCCTTCAACAACGAGCAAAACGCATACCATAATACCATACAGCAGGCTTCAAAGGGCTTCGAAAGGACAAAGGTATAACAATTCAAAAGTGAAAACTAGCAGCCTGATTTATGTACAAAACAATAAACTAAAAACAAACATATTAAACAGCAATAAACGACAAACACTGAATTACAGACATGGTACAGGTACATACAGAATGTGGTGGTTTAAACATGTTAGCAGAAGCTCAACCATGCCCCTAAACCGGTTACAGAACAACACCAAAAAAAACTGTATAAAAAAAAACAGAAAATAAATATTATGCTGAGCAGCATGTTTACACTCAACTTACTTCAGAGGTATGAGGAAGAACGACTGAAATCGAGACTACATAAGTTTTACAGTCACCATCGCAAATTAGATGACCGATATGATGTGTCGGTGTCTTAACTCCCCGTCGACATGCTTTTGCGGTCTTACATCTTAAGATACAAGGAAAGGAATCTGATCTGTCATTTAACTGAAAAGTCAGATAAAAAAAAATACTGAACTCCAAGGAAAATTCAAAACGGAAAGTTCCTTAACAAATGGCAAAATCAAAAGCTCAAACACATCAAACGAATGGAAAACAACTGTCATATTCCTGACTTAGTACAGGCATTTCCTTATGTAGAAAATAATGGGTTAAACTGGTTTTATAGCTAGCTAAACCTCTCACTTGAATGACAGTCGCATGAACCAATTGGTGTTCGGATTTATTCAATATGTTTAATCATTTCTGGGAAATTCCTGACTTGGTACATTTTACCATTGACTTTATTTTTCTCAACACATTCTTAACAGTCTTTAAGCAGTTAAATATTGCCTGGACACATTCTAAACGACTCTGACTGAAAAAGTCTGGATATGTAGAATCTAAACTGTCTGAACGTATTCTGTAGTCAAAAATGTAAAAACACTCTGCAGAGATATTCATTCTTAAAAAAAAGAAAAATAACAAAAATACCCAACTCCAAGGAATATTCAAAACGGAAAGTCCCTTATCAATTGGAAAAATCAGAAGCTCATTTTAATATGGCAGTACCAATTAGCAAATCCCATTTAGCATGTTATCTAACAAATATGGCAAATTGTTTTGTCTATTTTTTATTTGAATTCAAATATTGGATATTAATTTCCATGTTGTTATATATGTCGTTACATAACAATACATATATGAACATAAAGTAATCTGAAAAATGTGAATTTGCTTTTTGTAAATCGTAAGCAGTAAATAACCCTAATCTCCTTTCTTTTTAGCCTTAACTTATTATCTGATTACATAATGCTTTCCCATTTTTAAACTTTTATAGTTTTATGAATCAATATGTCAGATGTCTTTTTTTCTCTTCTTCAATGCAATTAATTGTTTTCGAAACTCCAAGGTTTATCTACCCCCACGCATAAATAGACTTAGCCTTATTTGGCACACTTTTCGGAAGTTTTGGTTTTTAATTCTTTTCAACTTCGCATTCGATTTGACCTTAGTACCGTTTTGATTATAGCATCACTGATGAGTCTTATAGAGACGAAAAGCACGTCTATGATACCACATTATAAGCCTGTATCATTGCTATGTTATTGTGTACATTTATTTATTGCTTATAATGTAAACTCTGTTAATAACTTAATCAGTATTAAAATCCTGTGTATTACCTATTCTTATTTCATATTAGCAAGCCTCAAAACACATGTTCCGTTAATGTATCATGTACATGTGTACATAATTATATAGTGTATGTAAAAAATAAATCTTTACTTTAAAACTTTTTATAACATGTATAACATAGTTTGGTTTTTTTTTCGAAGAATTGTTTGATTTTAAACTTATTGGTAAAAATCAACTTGTTTCTATTGAAAAGTGAAAAACAAATGTTTTCAAAATAAATAAATGACAAAAATAAATACAACATTGAGCAAAAAAAGGTTGCTCCTGTATATTATTGTAAAAAAAAGTAGTTGAATAGTTTTGCCTTGTTCATTATAAATTAACAGGAAATTTTGGAATCTGTCAATAGGAGAACCTTCCCCTCTTAAATCACCAGTTCTAAAAGTACTGACAAATAACAAAATATTTAAAAATCCAAAATGTTTTTCATGTTTTTGTTAGCGTCTTTTTTAGATTTATACACAGTTCTTGATTATTGTTTTTGTTTGTTTTTTATTATTTAATTTAGTAATGTTATATATCTATGATGTATGTTTACACAATTTCGGCTACTGAATCCCAATTATTGTCACCTTAGCTAATTATGTTTGGTTGGGTTGTTAAGGCTACTTTTGTCAATATAACGGAACAATAGCCACTTGTCATACAAGTTGGAGATTAAGTAAGCTAGCTGCAAAACGAGGTTTAACCCACCATTTTTTCGGAAAATGTCTGTACCAAGACAGGAATAAGACAGATTAAATAAAGTCGAGTGTTTAGTTTTGTTAATTTTTATGGACTTCCGCTGTTTTTTAAATTTGCCTTAAAGATCGATCATTTTGTTACTTCATTTTTTTTTCAGTATTTTTTTTTCGTAAACAAATTGTTTTAGATCTTTACCAACTATGGTTAATCGATTGCACTGAAAATATACTTTTTTATGATATAAAAATGTAATATTCCAACTAAGGACCTTAACCAAATAAAAAAATGAAAAGTGAATTTATAAAATATTGTTGAGATATGACAGATTTAATAGGTCATCTTGTGTAGTAAATATTGTACCGTGTATCATATTACTACCACTGGTTCGAAGCCTCTGCTTGTGCTCTGTTATTCCTCGAGTGCAGCACCAGCCTCGGTACTGGCATAAAATACGGAAGTTACTTGATTGAAATTTAGCCATCATTTAAGATAAAAGAATATATATCCCTGATGCAAATCGCTACTTCCTTGTTCAGAGTTGGCTATACTTTGAAGTTTTTTTTACGGAGAAACAGCTACTTAAAGACACAACTGGATATTTGATAAAAATAAAGTCAGTGCAAAATTACAAATATCTATATGGCTTTACATATCTAAAGGCTGTAGATTTTCTTATAGCAAGCACACGTTTGTCGTAATAAAACGATTAAAAATTACAATTAATTTAAACATCCTTACATTACTTACATTCTGGAATGTGTATGTAGCTATGCTTTCTTCAAACTGTTTATAACGTATTTACTCTAAATGCATTACATATGTATCTGACTGAAATGTTATTATACATACAGGTTTATTTATTAGATTGAATTGACTTGAAACTAGCAAGGGGCCTCGGTGGCCGAGTTGTCTAAGTAGTTACTACTGTAATCACTAGCCAGTCAACACTGAGGTTGTGAGTTCGAACCCCGCTCGTGCGGGTGCACTCGACTCCAATCTTAATTGACTAGGATTGTCAGTTTTCCTATCGAAGGTCGGTGGTTTTCTCCGGGCACTCCGGCTTCCTCCACCAATAAAAGCTGACCGCCACGAAATAGCCCAAAAGTGGTGCTTAAAAGTGGCGTAAAAACACCAAAAATCAAATCATTAAACTAGCTTTCAGAACTTTGAGGACTCTAAGATCGGTATATTATGTCTCCAAAGTTAAGATAGAGTTGAGTGCTGACACACATTTTTACCTAGCTTCATTCTTTTTGTACCGGTCCCAAGTCATGGATTGCCATTGGTCGCTGTTTTGTGTTTGTTGTTTTAAGCATAAATAAATGCAACAGTAGTGTACCGCTGTTCAATAGTCATAAATCGATTTAGCTGAAACAAATCCGGGTCAAAAACCAAAACCAGACTGTTAGTTTTCTCTCTAGAAATTGATTCACATTTTCGCATGCCAGTACCTGTTAAAGCTTACTATACGGTTTTACTCATTGTTGAAGTACGGAAGGTTCCCCGAATATTGTAAATATCTTCGTCATTTGGCCTATGTTGAATAATTATATCTTTGGTTTCATACCACATCTCCTTATTTTTATATGCGAAGGTTGGATGACTTATTGTTCCTTGTAATTTGCTTGTCCCTCTTGGAATAGATATTTCGGGTCTTTTCTGTGACTGCACATTCATAATGTACAAGCTATTAAGGATAGTACCTGCTTTGTTAAAGATGTTAAAACCTATAAGAATGAAATCCATTTCGGTTAGGAATTACGTGTTCTCTACAGAATTAGCATCAGCTAATAGCAATTAGTACAAGAGGCTGTCATCTTGGCACTTGATAGCGTTATGGTTACATCGTGATTCTTGACTGGAAAAGAAATATTAATGCACATGTAGATCAAATTTTCTTTTAAAGACTGGTTGCTGATAAAAGGACACTGTATAAATTTTAATTCCGTTATTAGAGATATTGGATGATTGATTGATTTTTATTTTTGGTGTTTTAACGCCACTTTTAAGCACCGCTTTTGGGCTATTTCGTGGCGGCCATTTTTTATTGGTGGAGGAAGCCGGAGTGCCCTGAGAAAACCACCGACCTTCCGATAGGAAAACTGACAAACCTAGTCAATTAAGATTGAAGTCGAGTGTACCCGCGCGGTTCGAACTCACAACCCCAGTGTTGACTGGCTAGTGATTACAGTAGTAACTACTTAGACCACTCGGCCACCGAGGCCCCCGAGGAATTGGATGACTAGTGGGTAGTATGGTATAACTGTTTTCATTACACACAAGAATGAATATACTTTTTTCTTTTTTAAAAAGGGCTTCAGATTTCAGTTTACTGTTTTTTTGGGTTTTTTTTCGATTTCAGAAGAGATTGCTAATACATCATTTGATTATTATCATGATCACGAGGTTTATTACGGTGATAATTCTCATTTAGCAATGTTACAATCAAAGAGAAGATGATAGGATGATTGTGGTTACGACAAGTGGAAAATATCCGTTGTCATCTGTGAGACAGATATTCAAAACAGGTCGCCCAGTTCGTTATAGTGTCCTTAAAAGTGTCGAAGGGCTGACTTCAACTTTACCATGTGGCAATATTGGTGTCATAACGTCCTTGTAAGACGCATCAATCTATAAGTGAAATTTGACAATGTAATGTTCCAACTTAGTACCTTAACCACTTACAAAAATGCAGAAGTAAATTTTTCAAATATTGTTGAGATATGACAGATTTAATAGGTCATCTAGTGCAGTAAAATTTGTACCGTTTGTGATATTACTACTACTGGGTCGAAATATCTTAAAGTCTCCTGAGGGTATCTCCAAACCTGTAGCCAGGACTTCGAAAATTCTGATATCGTTGATTGAAATTTGTTATAAGATTTCAGAAATCAGTAATGTATCTGAAAGTGATTATTTTGTCAATCATGAGGACTTAGTTTGCCAAAACTACTCATTTTATTGGATATTGTGAATTCTGATAACAATAGATAATAAAATGCTTCGCCGAGCGCAGCCTGATACGACCGCAGAGGTCGAACCCTGAACAGTTGGGGCAAGTTTGGACACAATATTCAAGCTTGATACTGTCTGAATTTGGATTGTGATCAAATTTTTGTCATAATATAGGTTTCTGACACAAAATAAATGTGGTCAAAGATCTTAAAAATTTGAAATGGGACATTTAATTTACCTAGTATGGTCTGATATCCAAAATCTAACAACATGGTTAGATTCAGCATATAAAAAAACACCAAAAATTTTATTTTAGTTGAAATCAAACAAAGTTTAATTTCGGAGCCTTCAAACCTTCATATGGAATAATTTGAAAACAGGGCCCAAAATAAAAAATCTAAATGCACAATAAGATTCAGCATATCATACAGCCGCAATAATTCAGTTTTTGATGAAATCAAACAAAGTTTAATTTTGGACCCTTTGGACCTCAATGTAGACCAATTTAAAAATGGGGCCCAATATCCAAAATAGTAATACAAGGTTAGAACCCCCAAAAATTAAGACTTTAAATTAATCCCATTGAAATTGGTTAAAAGATTTGTATTTATTTTCAATTGAAGATTTCTTGCTATTGCGTAATACTGTCATATTGCGTAATACTATGCTTGTTTTTGGCCCCTTTTTTGTCCCTAATTCCTGACCGTTTGGGGCAATTACCCCCAAACTCAGTCCGAGCCTTCCCTTTGTGATATGGAACCTTGTGGTACAATTTTACAGAGAACCATACACTAACACACAAGTTATTGTCCGGAAACTACAAAAATGTTTGTTTTTTGGCCCCTATTTGCCCCCTTATTCCTAAACTGTTAGTACCATAACCCCCAGAATCAATCCCACCCTTTCTTTTGTGGTATTGAACCTTCTGGTAAAATTTCATAGAGATCCATTCACTTAAACTTAAGTTATTGTCCGGAAACCAAATGTGTCTTCGGACGAAGACGACGACGACGACATGATAGCATTATACGAACGCATTTTTTTTGCGGTCGTATAAAAATGCTAAAAAATGGATATTATTTGTAATAGCTTGAACAAAATTCGTGTTCCGATTGTCGATGAAAACAAAGAATTTGTCATTATAATGATTAATTCTTTTTCATATTTACCGCGTCATCCGATTTCTTAAATGTTTGCTCCGACTTTAGGTTTTGAAAATCATAAAATTGCTATTGCTTGTTTATATCAATAAACATAGAAAAGAGTATACTAGAATAAAATAATAAACGTGGATGAATATTTTTATCAACAATATGTCATACTGGCTCAAACGTTATTTGAGCTAAACATAAGTTTAACAACATTATGAACCAGTTCTTCACAAATATAATGTCACTATGTCATAAACATGTCAAAATGTAGCGATTTGACCTAAATGTCCATTTCACTCATACTGTTTGGTAAAAACTCATATGAGCAACAACTTTCTCCGAATTGATATTTTAAATTCGCATTAACATCTTTGTAAAATACATTTTGTAATGTAAAGCTATTAGCTATTTGGGAAGTTTTTGCTGATCTAAATGCAATTAGTTTGAAGTCGTAGTGTCCAGCCGTTTTTGTTTTCATAATAAAAACCATTACATGTGTTTACAGGGGCCTGGTGGCCGATATGTCTAAGTAGTCCAACTACTGTATCACTAGCCTGTCAACAATGTGGTTGTGAGTTCGAACCCCGCACGTGACACGTGTGCCCGACTCAAATCTTTGTTGAGTAGTATTGTCAGTGTTTCTATCAAAGGTCGGTCGTTCTCTCCGGGCACTACGGCTTACTCCACCAATAAAAACTGACCGCCATAAAATACTTATAGTCAATAGTGCTGAAAGTTGCGTTAAACGCCAATCAATCAATCACATATTTACAGGTTTAGAATGGCACGGGATAAGCGTATACGCATTCCATGCATGACTTCATGATTTCGGGATAATCTGGTAATTTTCTTATAACACCAATAGAATTAACAGACGAAACGTAAATTATTAATTATCAATTGTTCGTGTTCGAAAAATATGGTTTTATCAGTATTCTTTATTTGTTTGCACGTTAGGGGCTTTTTCGTTCATTGCAAAATACCAAAACGAAATTTAATGCTATAGGTAATTGTCCCGGTCCTGATTGTTAAGTACACTTTATTTACAATATATTGGTCGACTTCTTGTATTTGTCTGGTACTGAGATGACTGTGTATGTCAAATTCGAGGTATAAGTCAAAAAATGAGGCGGAGGAAGCCGTGTCTGTTGTTTCTTTAATTTCTAGTTCTGGGGGATATATTAATTTAAACCATTGTGGTGACGTCAGCCTATTCATTTACCGTGGATTCTTTCTCTAGAATCAACGCTTCCTAAATCTGCCGCTGAAATTGACTCACCAAATTATATTCAATTGTTTCCTTTGTGTGCCTAATTTCATTAAGTTTGAATTGGCTAATTTACTGATTTCTGTTCACTAAAGGAATTAATTTAAAAACTTACCTTTGATTTTTGTAATTTGTATATGCCTTCACTGGGAATCTAACCCTTCCTTGAAATCTGTTATGTGTGACTGACATCAACACATCGACGAAACCTCTCGGCTACCAATGGGTTACACTATAGATGTCTATTTTATATATTTAAATGAACATCTGATATACATCGGTTCATCGGACACACAGGGCTTGTACCTTTATATAGACACAATAGGCAGTCGTATAGTATGAGTTGGTAGCCGCGAGGTTAGCATGGTAAAAATCAATGAGTCAAAGATAGGGATTTGTCGGTTAAAGTTCGAGTCCCTGTATTCTCTCTGTTGTTCCAATTCTTAAGTTATCCTGTTTTTCTTCTAATTTTGCATGTTATAGTGGATATTTTTGTAATAATAGCGAGTTTTTATCGTTTTTTTTTTATTATTATTGGCTATTTCACATGTTTGAAACAAAAATTATTACATTCTATTTGTCAATTTTTGTTTTATAAATATAGTATGATTTCATCTGTTTTACTTCATAATTTTACAAAGGTTTGTTCGCAAATTCCTATGCGAGAAAATCGTGATGTGCCTAGAGTGCTAGAAAAATTTCGATAACATTCTTATTATATATACTTTATATATGCTTTTTGGTCGGGTTGTTGTCTCTTTGACACGTTCCCCATTTCCATTTTCAATTTTATTAGAAATAATTTCGAATATGTCTTATTTTGTATAAACAGATAATATTCATATGCCTGGTAATATAAAGATCTTTAAAGGTAGAAGTGTTATATTTTTTTTTTTGTTAACCAATTAATTGTGATCTGAGATTTATCAATGCATCGTTGGACACGATAACATGGTTATTTAAACTCACTTACAATACCTTCTAATTAAGAAAAGGCTTTAATTTTGAAAAGAAATTAACACAATAGTTTAAGTTATAGATACAATGGATAAGCGTAGATTCATGAAAAACAAACCATTCGCCCTCCGGGCTCATGGTTTCTTTTTCAAGAATCTACGCTTATCCATTGTATCTATATAACGGAACCCAATCAGAAAAGTTCGGATTGTTAATGGAAAGAACATCATCAATATATCTGAAAGTGAAATTAAATAATCTGGCTTCTTTGATCTTCTTTTTTTTTATAAGTGTCTGAAGGAAATCCGATTCATGTGAAAATAAGAAGAGGTCGGCAAGGAGAGGCGCACAGTTCGTTCCCATAGGAATGCCGACAATTTGTTGAAAAAGTCTACCTCCAAATTCAACAAAAAGGTTGTCGATAAGAAACTCCAGCATACTGATCACTTGTTCCTCTGTGTAGCATGTTTTACCCTTTTGTTCGCTATTAACAAAATATGCCTTATGGTATCCCAAAGTAATAAATTT